CATCCCTCCTTTTGACAAGAGAAATTCAGAGCGAACTTCGTTATGATGTCATTAATTTAGAGAATATCGATCTAATGAAAACCAACTTTACCATCGTAAAGTAATTACCGCTTCTTTGAGTTGTTCATTGAAGAAAGTAGACGAAGAGGATTGCGTCTGGGAAAACTGATACTCTTTTCAGATCTTCTTCATTCAATCGATGAGACACTCGTTGCAATCCACTGAGAGTGGTTTTATTCGTGAAGAAAGTGCTTCGATGAAGGAGATGTAGATTTTCGTGACTTTTCGAATGACTATCATGAAGATGTGGAGGACTTTGACTACTGAAAATTTTTCGCATCCAAATTTCGGCAAACAGAAGTCCTCAGTAATTTTCGCCATAAAACGACAATGTACTAGCGAACTGAATTCGTAACATAGTAATGAACAATGATAAAAGGAAAATTGTGAAAAAAACTCTGAGTAGCTTTATCGTTTCGTTCGTTTTTAATTAAACGTTCAAATGTCTGCTTATACATGGGCTTTATGAATGCTATTTTGTCTCTTACCCCTCAGCCTGTTGACAATGTGCTAGCCAACAACGGAAGCGACATTTATCTATATTAAACCCTCAAAAACAAGGAAATGGAGTTTCATCGAGTTTTGCCGTTAATTTGTTGAATAAATTAGCGATAAAAATAATTGGCGCAATGTCTGTCACTATCCAACGTACGCCATGTTTGATATTTCGTCTCTCTCGAAAATAACCTCACTAACTTACCCCTGGAAGGCTCTGATCCCTTAAGGTACTTCCGCAGTATAACTTTGGGGTATAGAGGGGGGGTAAACATCAATGGTGCCGACACTCCGCTGCATCGTTCGAAAAAATATATATAAAAATGTTAAGGATTCAAGAGTGAATTGTGGTAACTAGGCTGGATAAATGAAATTTTAAAAAAAAATCGTTTTCTTCAGATTCATATTTCTCAAGTTTTCTCGGCACGCGTGAGTCTATTTTTAGGTAAGAATCTAAGCACCTTGTTGTCAAGCCCAATGTAGATTGCATAAAACCACGCCTAGAGACGACACATTTTTCTTCCTCTTTTCTCTCATGATCGTTTCACGTGATCGTCTTCCGATCGCGACTCACACTGACCATCGGCTAAAATTAGAAAACAACGCTAGATCTCGTGGAAAAATCCAGTTTAGGTATGACTATATCTCATCTGAACAACTAGCAACACCCCTATGTCTCTAGCCTATAAAAGGAAGAGTACAAGCCCAGCAATTCACTTCCAATTGTACTTTTTGAGCAGCAATTGCTGACTCTCATTATCTCAGTTTTTTTAAACCAACTTTGTATTTCAAAAACGTAAGTCAAATAATTAATATATTAAAATAAAATTCAAAAACCTCTTAAAAACTGCTTACATGGCCATAGAAGCCTCATTATCGAAAATTCTATTAAAATCAATTAAAACTATAAAACTCAAATTAAATTAAAATTGGATAAAAGAAGAAAATCGAAGGAAATAACGAGTACATCGTATCCATTGTAACTTGAGAATACAGTAGACTCTCGTTATAGTCGCACTCACGGGGCTGTAGGGGCAGCCGATTCTGAGAATGGGACTGTATTTCTCTTCCCCCACCAGGCGCTCACGGTAAGCCTAAATTCCAGGAATTGGGAGCGATAAGAAAGTAAATTTTACTCCAATTATTTTTCTCTTCAATTTGCATTGAACATTTTTATTAAATATAAAAATTATTTTCATTGAACACTTTTATTAAATTAACAAAATGAATTGCGTTGAACACTTTTAGTAAATTAATGAAATGAATAGAAATATTAATAACATCGCATTGTTCAATACACTCCAAAATTTATTCACTTCATTCAAATAAAAAGCAGGGCTATGCACCACTGCAAAGACCCTCTCTTCGTGACAGTCAAGAGTGAACTGAATTTGTCTCTCGCAAATTCATTTTTCCTAAATTTTATTTCCCGAATTTCTTAGAAATGCAAAACAAAGCCCATTCCGAGAAAACACAGGGGCATTTAAATCCACACCTCGGAGGTGGTACGGAGTGGGGGAAGCGCTCGAGCTCGAAAAAATCGATATGAGGGGAAATGCGACTATAACGAATGCGACTATAACGAGAGTCTACTGTATGTTGTTGCCATAACTGACCTACAGCCAGACGACATACTTATCGAATAAAGAAGATGTATTGATATGCTTAAAAGACTCTTTAAATTACATTGGATTAATAAATTGGCAAACTTTATTTCCTGAAATTTATTGACATCCGCCTAGTATCCATCTAGTTCTATTCTCAACAAATTGAATCAACAGAAGGCATCAGCATGCCTTAAGGACATTTGACTTTAGTCTCGGTCCGTGGTGTAAAAAGCATATTTTTTTTGCTTTGACCCGAAATAGAGACCATCAGTAAGTATTGTGTTTGGACGTAACAGAATGGAAATTTTGCTGATCGGATTCCTTTTTATTGATGACAAATTTTTTTGTTAATGATTTTATTAATAAATTGAAACTATCGTCAGAGATCCGGCAACAAGGCATATGCGTTAGACGAAGTTGGTGTTACTGTCCTTTGATATGAATCTATACTACACTATAGTAGATTCACGGAAAGAAATTTTCGATAAAAATTAGACCTCCAGAGGGCCAAACGTGGGACGAAATGACATTCAACCACTTTTTAGGTTAAGTTTTGTCGGAAAAATTAGACTTGGGAGTTTAATTTTTGCGATTAAACTAACCTTCGCCCCACGTTTCGCCCTCTGGAGGTCTAATTTTTATCGAAAATTTCTTTCCGTGTTTGCTTCCATTTACTATAGTACCTACAGTCGAGCTAACTTTGTACTTTGTATTCTAACCTTCTCTCATCGTTTTCATGTTACACCGCCTTTTTTCCCGAATTTAACGAAAATTCATGATTGTATGATACATTTTTAATGATTTCTCAAAATGTGTTCGGACTCCTTGCGACATATTTCTGGCTATTTCAAGAATTTTTCCTTTAAATTTCACATTTTTTATACATTGTTGACTGTTCCTACATAACTGACAGAGGAAGTACCTTAAAGTTGTTCTTAGGTATAAGGCTCCTTGCAAGGGTGCTTCCAATTATCAACGATTATCGCACAGCGGATAGAGTAAAGATATAGTTTCACCTTTGAGTTGAACCCGGGAAATCCTCCAGTGTTACAATTTGTATAAACAGTACTTGACTGTTTCAGACTCACGAAATTCGTGATAATTAATGTCAGAACAGCCAGAAATAGTAACCTAAAATTTCGAGAGTAATTTTCCACCAGTGTATGTTTCAAATTACACAGCAAGTTACTTTTCATAATATGAGGATCGATGAGCCATTTCCACCACGAAAATTCTTCAGTAAATAGCACTATTTCCGATACCTTCCTGATCCTGCGGTTTTCAACATTCATTAATGTGAAATCTGATGGAAATTACATTTAATTAATTTTGATGAGAACACACGCATATCAAACATCTCTCTGTCTACAGGGAAATAATGGGAGTGAGAATCACCCTCCACGTCCGGTCCACTGATAATAAAGAGTCAGATTCCGCGCAATTTACAATTTACGCAGCAAATATAGTAGATCAGATCATTTTTAATATAGGAATTCCTGTTTGTGAAGGGATTTTGCAAACAAAAAGATTTTTTTTTCTGCTCTCTATTTTTTCCCTCGCGGGGTCATGAAACATGTTAGTGGTTCTCTCTCGCACTGTTGCCGGCAGTCTCTCTGAATTTCCCCACCTCCCAGTCTCGACTCGCCGCTGGATGCAGGAGCATCAACGATGTGGCAACGCTCCCGCCTGAATATCATTGCGGCAGATCCATCGCGACGTGACCAAAATTGTTACGTCGCGTTGGGTGACCAGTGCAGGGTTTATTGGATAGTTATTGGTACGATTGGTTGAAGATCACACCCGCTCCGATGCGTGCTTAACAATGCACTCGATTTTTATTGCCGTCAACATTGAGAAAAAGATTCGAGCGGCCATTCATTTGGGAATCCGGTGACACAGCGATTACTGATTTCACGTAATTTCATGGAGTTTTCCATGATTTCATGCAATCATTGATTTCATGTGATTGCCCGGAATTTTTTGGTGATTTCGCGATTTCAGACGATTTTATGTGATTTCAAATTTTCGATTTCATCTATTTCGCGAAGGAGGGGGAAAAGCGTTGAAGGGAATGGGGGTAGAACCCGGAGGGAAAGATGTATCATATTAATACAAAAAGGCTGAAGCAAGAGAGTTACAAGGGGATAAATGTAGGGATGAGACCATCAAAGTAAAGCAATGAGAATCAAATATGTATATTTTCTTCATTCATTAGATTAAATACCTATTTATACCGCAGTCAAAACATCCAACGTCGTATGGGAAATTCTCACAAAATATCGATTGTTGATGTTGTATTTTTGTTTTGTTTTTTGGCTTCTCCCGCAGATAGTGTCTCTGTTGTAACACGAAGTTTCAATACTGTCTGAGGATTTCAGGAGGTTGTACAAGAAAATCCACGTTTTTTTCAATGATTTGTTTTTTTTTCTATGTGAAAAATAATATATATAATGGGCAACGTAGAAGGATACACAACAAATAAGTCGAAAACGTTCCTTTCTCTGTTATGTATTCGAGAGGATCTCATGAGTTGCTAATTTCGTGATTTCATGAGATTTCACCGATTGCAAGTGATTTCAATTGAAATCGCCTGAAATCGATTAAATCCCAGGATTTCAGTTTGAAGTGATATTGATTTCGCAAATGAAACTGAAATTTCATGGACAACTTTTAGTCGAAATTTTCAGGAGAGCGACATTTAATTCCAAACGGGATGGGGGTCATATGTAAGGAAAAAAACCCTGGATTTTGCGAAAAATCACCTCATAATTCGCTTGCATCCCTTTTCCGTCACTGAAATTGCCTCGGAAATTTACTATTCTATATTTTGTTCCACAGAAACGGCCACATGTTGACCCACAGAAACAAAAAGCCATTCGAGTGTAAAGCGGAGGGATGTGGAAAGTCTTACTGTGATGCACGTAGTCTACGCAGACATACAGAGAATCATCATGCTGGAAGTAAAGTTAATGAGAGTGTGAGTCCAAGTAGTCCAACAACGGGACCACATACGCCCAACACACCAGGCAGTAATCCAAGTACGCCAAGTACACCTGGAGCACCAACAACCCAAAATGGTCACGGACACACAGCGCTCAAACAACTTTTAGCGAGTGAACCTACACAAGGATCGGGGCATAAGGTGAGAGAGGCAAAATTATGGAACAAGTTTTGAGTTTATCAATGCATGGAAGAGAAAGTTGAAGGAAAATGACTAAAGAACGCAAATATTAAGAGGAAAAATGGGAAAAATTATTTGATTTTCTTCGTTTTCTCTATAACTAATTACGGCCGGACATGTAATTTATTCTAAAATGATGAAATTTATCCAGAATTCTATAAAAAATTACGCCTGAAAACGTAAATAATTACACAAAAAAAACTTATTTCAAGATTCCAAGTGTCTTAAAATAAGATATTCAAAATTCTTACTTTGTAGCCTTTATGGCATAGAAGCAGCAAAACATGCTGTAGGCGAAATATATTTACAAAGTACATAGCGTATATGCTTATGTAGGTGAAATATATGCAACGACATTATTGGCTTCCGGATGGATGCCGCTAATCAGCTGTTGNTGAAATCGATTAAATCCCAGGATTTCAGTTTGAAGTGATATTGATTTCGCAAATGAAACTGAAATTTCATGGACAACTTTTAGTCGAAATTTTCAGGAGAGCGACATTTAATTCCAAACGGGATGGGGGTCATATGTAAGGAAAAAAACCCTGGATTTTGCGAAAAATCACCTCATAATTCGCTTGCATCCCTTTTCCGTCACTGAAATTGCCTCGGAAATTTACTATTCTATATTTTGTTCCACAGAAACGGCCACATGTTGACCCACAGAAACAAAAAGCCATTCGAGTGTAAAGCGGAGGGATGTGGAAAGTCTTACTGTGATGCACGTAGTCTACGCAGACATACAGAGAATCATCATGCTGGAAGTAAAGTTAATGAGAGTGTGAGTCCAAGTAGTCCAACAACGGGACCACATACGCCCAACACACCAGGCAGTAATCCAAGTACGCCAAGTACACCTGGAGCACCAACAACCCAAAATGGTCACGGACACACAGCGCTCAAACAACTTTTAGCGAGTGAACCTACACAAGGATCGGGGCATAAGGTGAGAGAGGCAAAATTATGGAACAAGTTTTGAGTTTATCAATGCATGGAAGAGAAAGTTGAAGGAAAATGACTAAAGAACGCAAATATTAAGAGGAAAAATGGGAAAAATTATTTGATTTTCTTCGTTTTCTCTATAACTAATTACGGCCGGACATGTAATTTATTCTAAAATGATGAAATTTATCCAGAATTCTATAAAAAATTACGCCTGAAAACGTAAATAATTACACAAAAAAAACTTATTTCAAGATTCCAAGTGTCTTAAAATAAGATATTCAAAATTCTTACTTTGTAGCCTTTATGGCATAGAAGCAGCAAAACATGCTGTAGGCGAAATATATTTACAAAGTACATAGCGTATATGCTTATGTAGGTGAAATATATGCAACGACATTATTGGCTTCCGGATGGATGCCGCTAATCAGCTGTTGATCAGCTGGTCAATTAAAACCATACGATTGGCTGACCCCCCCCTTCCCCTTCCCCCACCATCACAGGGGAAGACATAAGGACAGCCCCCAAACATCGGAGCTCAGAATCGGAGCTCATAGCCCTGAAGATGCAGACTGCAATGTTTGCCAAACGTCGGCGCAATGTTGAAACCAAACGCGGCATCCATTCGGAAGCCAATAATGTAATTAATAATGGCCGTGAAAGTCTCAAAACTAATATATGTAACGTATATATTTTTCAACTTTAGAAATGTATTTCACGCATATATTCATTTCCATGTGGAAGTAGTCATTATTTACTTTACAAACCCTAAAAATTATTGAACATAAATTATTAAATTACATGTCGCTAGACGCTTACTTTTTGGTACCGGAATTTGCCGTGATTTTCTGGATAATTTTTCCCGAACTTTTTCCTCTGCGTACATGCATATTAATTTTCAAGCGGTTGGGACAACTCTACTTCGAGATAATTTTGAATTATTCATAGATTCTCCATCAAATTTTGACGAAAAAATGGAACGAGTAGAGATTAAAGTTTCTCGCATCTCCTATTTTAAAGTTTGATACAGAGGATGGGATCCATTAGCACCTCCATTAAGTCGGCTAGAAACAAGTGGAGTATTACGGCAAATCCATAATGGGATTATCACACATCCCTGGAGTTGGAAAATTATTATCGAATGCATTATGGTTCTCGGAACGTGCGCATCAGATGAGGGAGAATTATATCATTCTTTTTATCGATGATTTATGATTTATCGAATGAAACGCTTTTATACAGTTGGCAGCCCACATTATGGTATTCCTTCGAAATTTAGTAGAATCGTTTGGTTGTCGATTGTAGATATTTGATTTGATAGTGAAGTAGCATCCGTGGGCTACCAAATTATACACATAAATTTTAAATATTCAATTGCACGGCTCACGCCCAAGCTGATAGGGTTCTATAATTAATCTGCGAAGTCTAGAAATAAATTAATTCATATGAATACTTCAATAACTTATAGTACATACTATTGAACATTCATATTTAATAATTTCGATGTCTCAAAGAGGTTGAGATTGAATTATAGACGACCAGAAATAAATAAGTGAGACATTGCTTTCGTCGCAACATACAGTAGACTCAGGCTACTTGCGCGCCCGTTAGTTGCGCGTCTTCCCCTAATCCCCTTCTCGGACGTTCGAGCGCTGCCCCCCCTACTCTCGGCCGCCTTATCGCTTTCTTTTGTCCACCGTACGTAAACACAGATCAAATAAATTTATTCGAAAATAAAACTATTCATTCCCTCTGATTTTTAATCAAGAAGGAACATGAGAGGCCAACTATCATAATCCGTATTAAACAATAATTCTTGCTAAATATCCCATCAGTAATCTTCCGTAACGACAGTGATAATTTTTGTCTAGAAATTTCGAATCTCTAGATTATAAAAATCTAGATTGACTTCTGGTGATGAATATTTGGTACTCGAAATTAAGAATTCAAAAATCTACTTAAGGGTCAAAATAAGGGTTACGAGGGTCAGAATAAGGGTCACGAGAGTCAGATTAAGGGTCACATGGATCAGATCAAAGGTCACAATTTTAAGGGCTACAAGGGTCAGATTAAAGCTCTAAGTGAGGGTCACAAGGATCAGATTAAAGTTCAGAGTAAGGGTGCAAATAAGGGTCATAGGGGTAAAAAACCAAGGGTCAGAAACTAAAGGTCATCAAGGTCAAAATAAGGGCCACGACGGTTATAATAAGGGTCACAAGGGTCAGATAATGGTCATCGACAGCCAATTCGGAGCATTCAGGGGCCAAATAATGGTCATCGGGGTCAGAAACTAAAGGTCATAAGCGTTAAAACAAGGGTCTCTATCTATATTATAAAAATCCCAAAAAAAACTTCCGGTGATGAAAATTTGGTTTACGAAATTAAAACTCCAAAATTAAGGATCAAAATAAGGGTCGCGAGTGTCAGATTAAGGGTCACAAGGGTTAGAATAAAGATCATGGAGGCCTTATGTGGGTCATGTGGAGGTTGGCGAGCGGAGCGAGCAGAGGTCGTATCCGCCTAGTTAAATATAAAAATCAACTTTCGAATATAATGGAGTGTTTAATATAATGAACATGCTATTCTCTCAAGCTTCTGTAGTATTGATAAATTTTGTTATCAAATTATTCTAGATTGAAATTAAGATCTTCATTGAATTCAATCCTTTTTGCACGAAATAGTTTCTCGAAATTTATCACTCAAGCATTCGCTTTTTTCAAATTCCTTATTCAATTATAGTGATTGGATACGACAATTATATTTCTACCACTCATCCTCGACAATGTATTAAAAACTCCCTAGTTTGACTCCACAAAATGCTATTAATCACTTAGTTTTAATTAATAGCAAGTCCACAATTTCCCTGCCTTTTTACTCCTTCGAATTTTATGACCTCCGTCACAGTGCTCTCTCATTCCCCTTTTTGACTATACTCATTCGTTCTCATTACGAAAGTTCCCAGGTCATCCAATGTTATTAGCTCGACTTTAGCAAATCCCGCATACACCCTTCCACTCACTAACTCAATATCCGTATATTCTCAATTTTATTTAACTGCCCCTCAACCAAAATTTCTCCTCTACAGTCGATAGCTACTTTGAACCACTCGTGGAAATATAAAAGTTTAGAGTGGAGCCGGAAAGGTTAGTGTTCCTGCGAATCTCAATATTAGTTCAATAATGTGACATTTCACATATTCATATCATAGAAAAATGTTTCTTGTAGGAATAAAGTTCGAGCACTTGAATGATTTCAATAGAAATTTAACTGTTAATGATTAATAATATTCAAGTTCTCCTACAATTTTTTTTCAATCCTTCCCTGTTAAGGCTCCATTCGATCCAAGGATGATAAATAATGTTCAATTATTTTATTATTAAAACTTTTGAGGTCTAAACTTGTTGCTATGTTTTGAAACGCCAGGAAGAATGTAATAGTTTCGAAAAAAATACAAGACTACTTCTTGAGAAAGACGCATAAAATTATGGAAAAACCACAACAGGGATAGGCAATAATATTAGATTTTGACGATATTAAAAAGGGATTACCTCCTTATATTGTTCAAAGTTCAACTATATTTAACAAATTTAAAATATTATAGAACTTATTAGCTAAATTTTTCGATTGATGGTGAATAAAATATTTGGTAATATTGAAATATAATTATTTATTTAACAAGCTAATTCTAACTTTAGGTACTTGATTTTCGATTATCCAAATAATCGTCAATCTTCCCACCTCAATTATTGGTTAATAGAATATTTCGAAATTTAAATGTATAAATTGATGGTTACTTTAATATTCACAACTTCACAATTTAACGGTAATTATGATTGATTGATATGCCTATCACTGAATCACAACTTTCCATGATTTCAAGTGTTTTTTTTTCTCGGGAATGGTTTATGAATAATTTATAAATAGGAAAGTTATTTTAAACCTCTCATAAAAATATAAAAGTTTAGAGTGGTATAGGAAAGATTACTGTTCACTGTTAGAAATTTTTTGAAACTTCATGG